GTAGTTGACCAGATATTCTGTGAGGATGCCATTGACTGTCTCAAAGTCCGGCGGATCCCAGGACACGGTGATACTGTGCTGTTGGGTGGAGCAGGTGACGTTGGTAGGCGGCGCTTGTGGTACTATACAGCAGGTAATTAAAATGGCAAAAACAGAATTTAGAAACAATAGGAACCAAGCCCCAAATGCCTCATTGGGAAATTAGTCCATTTAAGAGTCACAGAGAGAGAGGCAAGTTAAAGACAACGGAGTCACTTACGGTCTTCCAGGGTCCGGGCCAGTACAAAGGCCGGCGGTGATAGACCCTTACTGTTGATAGCAATCACTCTGATGGCATAAGTGGTGAACTTAGGCAGGCCAGTCAGCTCCATGTCGTGCTGACCGTGAAGGAGGGAACAGCGCACCTGTGAGGAACCTCCCAAATTCATGATGCTAAACAGGAGAGAATAAAGAAAATAAGAAAAAGGGGAAGCAAATCAATTAGTTTTGCTGTGCTACTCGTTATAAGCTAGTAGCCATGTTTTATTACTATTTATACTGCCCAACAACTGCTGTGTTTTCACCCATAAGCATGCAATTGGCGCACATTTTTTCACTTTTTCTTTGCATCTATACAATCATCTATCATCTTGTTACTTATAGGGAGTTCAAAGGCATTCGTCTCTCTTTCCTTCAAAAAAAACTGATAATGATACTAACACGAACCTGGGCTCCTCAGAGGTGGGCTCGGCAGGCCAGGGGAGTTGGGCTGCGTCCGCCTGTTGGATATTGTTGTCGTCGACACGCTGGTGGCAAATCCAGTAGCGATCCACATTGCCGTTACGGTGTTCCGGTTTCGGTAGCTTCCAAGTCACCGAAATTGTATCCGAAGCGACGCCGCTTGCCTTTAGAAGTTCTACTGGGCCTTCAGGTTCTGTTAAGGGGGGGGGACATAGGCAGAGAGGAAACGTGAGGCACTGGTAGGGAATGGCAACAACAAAGTGTTGGGAGAGAAACAACAGGAGGGGGAGGGAAGGGCACCACTCACTTGCTTCCTGGGTGGTCAGGGCCAATGAGCTCTCTGTGCTGACGCCCACCTCGTTGACAGCCGTCACTACAATATGGTACTTTGTGTACGGCCGCAGCCCCTCCAGGGTGGCCTGATGCTGGGTCGCTGGAATTTCAAGATGGCTGCTCGTTCTCTGTAACGCGCGCGCGCGGGAAATGAAAAGAAATAGAAATATAAAGTCGACATTAGA